GAAAGACAAACAGACAAAATGTGTCCACGGTTACACAGCTGAAACAGCCATTCTCAATGTGTTTGCTTCTCATGTTTGACCAGTGTGCTTGGAATCTTTTTCAAAGGCCTAAAATCATATAGATGACAAACTGTAGAAGCACAATATGTTTACTATTAGTTTACTATAGTTATAGAAACAAGAACAAATGAAAAACTAAATTCAATTGTTTTCCTTTTACTCCAGTATGTATTTATTCAGAATACGTAAATAATTGGGAAATGCCACGTGTTAATTCACCGTTAAGTCAGTTTCCAGTAATGCCCAGAGGCCTTTTGCACTTGAAAAGGAACGTGAGTGTTTTGTGTGTTTATAACTTTTTAATTTCAGTTTCATTTTCAGTAAATATTTTTCTTTTCTTTGAAGTTTCCAAGTCCACTGATACTTGTGCAGAATCCAGGAAGCTTTTTCGGAATGATCAGCCAAGGAACTGTTTACAAATGTAGTTAGGTTTTTTAACTTAATTTTCATATTTCCCTGCAGAATCTCACAAACCACAAACCGCTTATGGCTCCGAACAGAAAACAGCTGGTGGTCTTTTTTTCTTATTGTCAGAAAACTTGTTCATTTTCTCATTATGTAAATACATATTTAGAATCTGAAAATATGAATTAATACCCCTTGTCTCATTCTGTAGTATATAGATTTAAATTTCTTTAACAAGTGGAACTTGGCATTTTGTGTTGAGATTGACAGGTGTTTGGACTACATACTGGAAAAAAAATTAAGGCACCAATACAATTTAATTTTATGGGACTGAATGTATTGTACAGATAGTGATTTACTTCCAGTTGGAAGGCCATTGTTAAACACTTTAAATAACTGTAAGATTTAAGACCTTACAGTACAATCACTGTGTTCCATAAATGATTGTTTAGAAGAAATGAGTGTAGATATAGGAGCCTTCTCTCTGGCCTTAATATTATGCTGTATATAGAATTGATGTGCATGGAAATGCTAGGACAACACAAGCATGAAAATTGTATTGACAAATATAATTGAATTCTGCCTTGTCAAAGGGAAATGAATTATATTTCTCCATTGAGCACCAATGAGATAAGCTCTGGGACTCATAACATTTGTGGAAACAATTCCTTCTCAATCTCTGATTTTGGGAACTGAAACCAGGGTGTGTCTGTTGCTACTGTACAGTGTGTATATCCAAACTATTACAGCTCTAACAGACTAAATAAAGAGTTCATCCTTCGCTATTTGATAGCTGGTGGAATTGTGGTTTTATTTGACAAAATAAAAAATAATTTTGGGGGAGCAGACTGATCTGACAACTGTAATGCATTGAGAGGCAATCACCAGTGGGTTTTATAACTTAATAAAGATTCTTACTGTGCATTTTAAAAGAAACAATATCCCCACCTAGTGTCCAGTTTACCATCTGTATCTCTGCAGGCTGAAGCAAGGCTCTGTTCTGTTAAGTGAAAAAACACAAGAAGCCAACTACTGTATCTCTCTTATATATCAGTTTGCGGAATTTAGAACAGTTTGAGGAATTTCTAGGTTAATTAGTACAAGAGAGAAACAATACTCAGGATTTTCATTTAATAGTGTTGACAACAGTGTTCCTGGATTATACAACCAGTTTTTTCTTTGGTTTTCTTTGGTTTTTCTTTAACCAATTCTAAAAATACTGAAAAGTATTTTCCCTTAAACAATTTAAACCTCCTTTATGGACGTAGGTAGAAGCTTATTATTTAGGGGTAAATTAATACCTGGTTAATTAATTAAGATCTAGTAGATTCAGACTTTCAGTATAATGATATTTTTGGCCTGTTCTAAGGACCTATTGGTGTGTAGGTGGTTCTTCCCTTTACCTATAAAACTAAAATCTTATGCTGGCTTGCTGTCTGCTAGAATTTGCTCTTTGGACTTTCTTCTTTGTCATTAATCTCTTTATCCTCTTTAGGTAGACACTAAATGAAGACTGTTGTTGTTGAAGAATTATCACAAACTTGCTCAATTCACTTTACTTTGCAGAACTAAAATGATTTCTATTCAGGTAAGCCATATGTACAAAAACCCCTTTACAGTAGCAGAAATTGATTTATTAACCGAAATATTTTTAAACAATTATCTACAGTATATGAACAGATTACATTTTGAAATCTATCGAAGTAAACAGTTCCGATGAGCCAAAGCTTCCCAGTTAAGCATACTGTCAGTTTGAAATAATGAAGTAGAAAAAATATATAATAGATTTTTTTGACACAATCGGAAAGGTGGATTTTGTTTTGCTTGATTTTCCTTAGTATGTACAGTATTATACTTTGTTCTCCATCACAATCATTAATAAAGCTACGAGGCCTCTTGGGTTAGGTTAAGTTGGGTGTTTCTGTCTGCATTGTGCTTGAATCACAAACAGTTTGATAAATGTGCGACCACGGCAGGAACCCAGCCCACAGAGCCCACCAGCCCACCTTTGTTTCTGTTCAGCTGGGAACACAGGAAGAGATTTGCCTCTCTCCCATAAGGGCTACTCTGGATCCCCAGCATGGCTTCACTTGCACTGCTCTGAGTGTGAATGTGCTACAGTCTCATCTGTCATCATACAAATCAAATGCAATCGGTTAAGTATGAAGGCTACTGTATAATAATATCTCCTTACACTTACTTAGCGCTTTTCTTTTCCGGACACTCCACTCAAAGCGCTGTATAGGTAATGGGGATCCTCTCCACCACCACCAGTGTGCAGCCCCACCTGGATGATGCAACGGCAGCCATAGTGCACCAGAACGCTCCCCACACACCAGCTATCAGCGGGGAGGAGAACAGAGTGATGGAGCCAGTTCAGTGATGGGGATTATTAGGTGGCCACGACTGGTAAAGGCCAGGGTGAAATTTGGCCAGGACACCGGGGTAACACCCCTACTCCTTTTTTTTTCGAAATCTTGGGATTTTTAATGACCACAGAGAGTCAGGACCTCGGTTTTATGTCTCATCTGAAGGACGGCGCCTTTTTACAGTATAGTGTCCCTGACACTATACTGGGGCATTAGGACCTACACAGACCGCAGGGTGAGCACCCCCTGCTGGCCCCACTAACACCTCTTCCAACAACAACCTTAGTTTTTCCCAGGAGTCTCCCATCCAGGTACTGACCAGGCTCACAACTGCTGAGCTTCAGTGGGCTGCCAGATGTGAGCTGCAGGGTGATATGTGCTCCCATGTCAGTACATTAGCAGGACCACATGCTTAAAAAACAAAAATAGAAATAAGATTGCTTGGGCCAAGTGAAATGCAGTTTTAGATCCTGATACAACCCAGTTCAAAACGATCATCTGCCTCGCAGGTTGTACAGTAGGTGGCACATGAGGTTCTGTAAGGATGAAGTACAGGCAGCAAGCATCTTGCATGTTTGCATTAAGTTGCTTTCCCCACTTGGTGTCAGTGTTGCAATCTGAGAATGACTCTTACTCTATCAGCTCACTGTTCTCTTCTGCTGTGGTGCAGTTTGATTAAATCACTTTTCCTGCCATTGTAGCCGCTGAGCAGATTCCGTTCTACAGATGTCCAGCTATACCTGATGCAAAACTGGTGTAATGTGCCGTCACTGACAATATTCTTGATTGAAAAAGAAGAAGCAGAACCTGCAAGTCACCAAATGTACCCAAGCTGAAAAGTCTGGAGGGCGCTTTAATAGTGATGGTACCTATTGACTTGCATGTTAGTCTTCACCTGAATTGTTATTGAAAAATGTGAAAGACAAGTGAATGAAAATTGACATTTGAAGAAAAGTTTAAGGATATTGGATATCTCCAAGCTTTCTTATTCTGTTGTTTCTTTAGAAGCTAAATTCACAAATACAAGTTCAGAGGAAAGGATTTTTCCCATCACCTTCAGTCTATTATAAATTGATTGAACATTGGCTACTGTTTTGTTGACAGATTTGCATTTTATTAATGACATTTTTTGTGAGATAAATGTCCAGTCCAGTAGGATGTAAAAAATAACTCTTGCAAAGGGTCCTCCTTTCTTTAGCGGGTTGGCCCAGTTATGGCTATAGGGCTCTGATATTTTCCTAGCAGTAGTAAAAGACATAAGACTGCATTAGGCTGTTATTTTTGAATAGAGTGCACTGGTGAATATACGTTTTCTTTTCCCCATAAATGTACGCAGATTTTAATTTGATCATTCCTGTAGGCTCATGTTTAGAATTAGAAATCTTCATGTCTGTCTTGAGGCAGAAGATGAATATAAAATCCCAAGCACAGGTCAGTGTGAACAATACAAGATATTGTATACACTGGGGAATTAATAACCTGAATTCCTGCTTCCAAATGAGTTTTGAACTTTATGTATCCAAAGTTCAAATGAACTTATAAAAGCAGATTTTTCTCACCCTCTCTAAGAAGCAGTAGTAGGGGGCAGTGAGACAGCATCCATATACAGTACATGTACAGATCCAGATGTTACCAGCTGCTTTTCTTCAGACAGGATGCTTCCATTCTGAGTGCCAAAAAGCTTTAAAGCCTGTGTACTTTCCATAGAAATATAGCTTCATCATTTCATGAACTGCTTTTAGCACATTTTCTACCAAGAAATTTACACAACCAGTTCCACAAAAGAAGAAGTACAAAATCTAGTAGGAAGACTATTGCTTACTGGTGTGGTCTTTGAAGATGGGGAATTTTAGGATGTTTCTATCCACTGTATATGTGAAGACTTCAGGAATCTTACCATTCACAAATAATAATAATTCTACTTCATAATTTGTGATGCAAGATCATATCAATTTGATAAAATGTATAAATCTAACAACAAAACATTTTCTTGTAAAATATTGTAAGGAAGAAAAAACTGGCAAACTTTAAAATGAATCTGCTTATCTGTGAAGGTATGTGCCTGTTCCTCACAACTTGCAAATGCTGATATCGTTGCAGTAGAAACGTTCTTAAGAAAAGTGTCAACTGTATTACAAAGAGATTAACATCCAAATAAGTCTGTATTATAACCTGAACATTTCAGTAGAGTGCTACTATATTATTGCAAGCATATTGACGTCTTTTCTGGCAGGATTAACTGCATCCTAAGAATAACAAACAAGAACACGTGTGCTGTTCTGCCAGTGTCAGAACATTCTGTGCGACTCTTGCACAAACTAAAATATAATTTTGTTTTTTAGGTCATCTCAGCAGAACGGAACTGAAGATGTGACACACAAGACACCAGGAGAATCAGGTAGAGTTTCGTTCTAGTTGTTTTTTTAATATGTTTTTGTCAGTAAATGTAAAAATCCATTTCAGGAGACAGTTGTTTGAATCTGCCGTGTTGTATCTGAGGAGAAACTCTAATCTTCTTCAACATAAACATAGTCGCCTATGGTACTGGAACGTCTCTGTTTTTGTGTGTGCTGTCGGGTCAGGGAGAGGCCAGGGCAGGTGGTATACATCAGTAAGCAGTTGACGTGTTTCCACGGCCTTATCCAAACAGGAGACAGTCGGCGCGCAGATCGCCCTGTGGAGGAGGAGAAATCTTCTATTTCTCCTTTTTGTTTCTGAAAGCCAGAAGTCTTTTCACTGCGCAGAACATAAAATACTGCTGTAATCCTTCAGCATCCCCCCATCTCTCAGCTTATCTTTAAAGCAGTCTTCACAAATCATTTAACTGAGCACATGATAACAATAAAGAGCTCGGTTTATTTTTGTATTACTGTGGACTGGAGAGAGACAGGGAGACAAGCTGTAGAGGATGTCCTCACATATACTTGTTGTGACACTGAAGCCGATATTATTTTTATTTTAGTAGCGTCTATTAATATAATATAACTCAGTTGGAAGTTTGTTCTTTGTAATGCATGGCTACAGGACACTGTAAATACAAACACCGTTGCCTTAAAAACACACTGCCATAGTTATAAATCTTCGTACTGCATAGCTGGAGAGGGGAGGTGCTGATCAATGAAGGACACGTAGAGAGACTCGCTTCTAGATCTGTCAGTCTTGGGGAAGCTCTTCTTCAGGAATGCGGAGGAGTGCATAAGCAAAAGAGGATGCCTACAGACATGAAAGTAAGTAATGGTATGTAAAACATTTGGGAGAAGTATGAATAAAATGTTTAATTTGTGACCTTTTTGTTCATAATCCCAGTTGAAACGGAAAGAACCAGGCTTGGTAATGCAGAATTCTAGTCGGCCTCAGAAGCCAGGACTGTGGTGAATGGGAAAGGAACATTCATGTCATTAATGCGACCTCAGACTGCACAGCCTCTGTGAGAGCTTCATGTGGGTGGAAGAGGGGACGTCTCCAAACCTCCAAAGGTCAGCAAATACAGCTGAACATTCATTAAATGGTTTGTAAGAGGTCAAAAAACAAAATAAAAAAAAACATACAGGCTGAGGCTACAAATATAGGTAACAGCTTTTTATTGGAATTAGCGCTGCCCATTTCAGTCAATGAGAGAAACCACATGAAACAGTTAAGTGAGCTTCTGTGCCTGATGTGACAATCAAACAAATTACTCTGGGCATCAAACTTTGAACAGCCGTAAAAATATCTACTGAAACCACTCCTGCTTTCTCCACAGTTTGGTCTCTGACTAGAAGGTGGTGAATTAAAGCCAGGACATTTATAGTAAGTATTATTTTTAAATACCAGGGAGCACTGACTTTTGCAACTGCTGACCTTCTGCAGAATTTGGCATTGTTAATCATGCAAAGGAACAAGTAACAGGTTTATTCCAAGCTGAAAAGAGAAGAGAGAAAACACAATGTTTCAGCTGTGAAGCCTTCTTCAGGTGTTTTCTCTCTTCTCTTTTCAGCAGGGAATAAACCTGTTACTTGTTCCTTTGCAGACTACGCCCCCCACCTGAACTGCATTGTTAATCATGGTCCTCTTCCGTAATCTACCCCCTTGCCTTGAGCTACTCAGTGAAGCAGGGGCTTATGTGAGACCCCTAAGTAACAGTGTGCAATAACACAGGGGTCTAGGCTGTGGCACAAACACTCCCCCACATGCGAAATCCTGAAAGAATGACTTGCACCTGCATCATAATGTTGTGATGCAACCAAGAATTTCTCAACATCTCAGAACAGAGCCTAATGTTTGAAAAATATATTGATGCACAAGATAGATAGATAATACTTTATTAATCCCGTAGAGAAATTGATGTGTTACAGCAGTCCAGCCCAAGACAAGCACAACAGACATCAGAATAGTTATAAAACAAAAGACAAACAAAATAAATAAATACATAGGTGAATAAATAAAAATAAATAAATCCTGAACCTGCATGGTTTAAGGTTGCTTTGCTTTGTTTGTGCCTTTTACAGTTTTCAAATGCCCTTCTTCACTGTGTAGCTATTTAGAATTTTTGAAGAGAGAATTGTTCCTCTTGAAAGCAGTTTAACTTTTAGGGCAAATACTTGTTCTGCTTAAACACTCGAGCACGTTTTAATGTTGCGCAGAGCCTGTGGAAAGAGGGAGAGAGTCAATCATCCTTCAGGTTGTGGCAAAGAACATGAGCAAAGTTTAGAGAGTGGCCCGCAAGACTCTGTGGGGCTCAAGCACTGAGTAAGAACATGCCCTAAGAAACACAATATATAGTTAAGAAACTCTCAAATGTATAAGACTATCCACTGATTAACACAGAAAGGCCTCAGGTAAGACCGAGTTTGTGATTTTCCTTGTTCATATTGGAGAAGAACAAGTTTAGCTGGTGTTCTGGAAGTTCTTCTTCACTTCCAAATTCAATCTGGAGGCTGATTTGTTAGCATCAGAATCTGCACCTTTCCAGTTAATTGAGTTCAGCAACTCCCCTTATGTTGACCCCACTCCTCAGGACATTGGCAGTGTAGAATGTTGACAATTATCCCAAAACTCCACCCCCACTTCCATAATGGGTTTCAGTGATAACTGATGGGCTTAAATCACAACCATTAGTTATGCCTGGAAAGCTTATAGTCTCATCTCTTCAGATTTTATGGAATGTGGGTCATATTTGTTTTGTTATATATGTCATTAAGATAAGCTTCAAGTCCTTATTCTTTTTCAGTTTGTTCATAAAATCATTTGGTATAACCGAGAGCTGAGGGTAAGTAGTGCAAAGCAGTATTTTCTTATCAGACACAGCCAGAATAGAAAATACATTAAATACATTGTGTATGGCCCCTTGTCTGCTGCATTCCAAATATGGATTGGCTCCGAGTTAGTGCCAGAAATAGATCTTATCAGTAAAAACCCTTTGCTCATTTCTCCTGGAGACAATGCTACATATTAACCAAACTGAGAATAGCTGTGAAGCACAACAACAGACAAATTCTGGGTTCCACTTCTGGTATTGGTCGAGCTTTCAATTAATCAATTGTTTGGTATATATATAATTTACCAGAATCATTTCCAAGTCCTAGCTTCAGGATTCTGTATGTGGGTTTCAGATTAATACATCTGAGTTCATGCAGAGGCCTCCCAGGACACACCAACAGTTACCAGTCTTTTTAAATAAGCGAGGAAAGTGCAATTTACTTTTTCAGTGTTACCCAGTTACACAAAGGCAGATCAAAGTATTCGATTAATACACTTCCAAGGGAAACAATACCCCTGATCCCGACGATCGGTCATACACACTTTATATACATGGAAGACGGTCCGTTGAAGGATAGACTAGATGGAGGGTTAATATGGCTTATCATGCTTTGTTAATCATGCCACAGGAATTTTAGTTTTTTGTTGAGTGCAGTAGGCGCAAGGACTCAGTGTGACACCATCTGTAAAGTCCCAGAATCCCCCCCCCCCAATAAATAAACATTTCAGCCTCTGCAGAGTCACAGCAGGGCCTGTGATGGATTGGGAGGGTGGGAGACGCACTGTGACTTCACAAGAGGCCCGAGTGTCTGTGGGGCTCACATTCTGTTTACTGCTGCTCTGCAAAAGGCAATTACCGCCGGAGCATACCGGTTCAGATTGTTACATTTTTGATAAGAGGAGGGAAATGTAAGGCGTGGGTGGTCATTCAATATGCAAGGTTCTGTGTCCTCTTAAAGAAGGGGGAAAAAAACCCCAAGCCGAGCCGTGTTGTACATATAAACGGAAAGCGACAGGCCAGGGCAAGGGGAAAGGACTATAAAATATTCATATTTGTAAGTAGGCCTCAGACAGAGTGGAGCTGATTAGATGTGATGAGCAGCTCAGCAATGTGCAGCCCCTCTGGGAGCCCCTGGGTAATGCACTTCACTTTAACTCAGGAATTTTGGGCCTTGTCTTAACAGGGCCCTTCCCACAGCTCTGGAGCCTTTTATCTTCTGTTGCACTGGCACACCACTCGGGCAAGTGGTCAGAGCAGTGCGAGATGCACACAGCAGAACGGCGGTCCTGTTTTATTGATTCCGTTCCAAAATGTTTTTATTTGGGGTTACGGTCCAAAACCTGTTAAAATCAAAATCTAAATACAAATCTGCTTTGTTTCAGTCAGTTTTGGTGTCATTTGCTGCGGTAAATGACCTTGACATATTTGCAAATATCACTTCATGACTCAGCCGGCTCATTTTCTTTGAGTGCAGACTTTTTTTTTTGTCCGTTTCAACTCCTACTTGTGTTTTATGCTGATTGTAGCAGCTAGTTAATGAAAGTGAGACTATGGGCCCGGGTTGTTGTCGCTGTTGTTTTTCAGTGTTGTTTAAACACTAGAGGTACACTCCTTCTTTGCTGACTAATATTAGACAGAACAGATGTTTTTCATCCGACCAAACACTGGCAGGGGTCATACTACGTTTTAGCTGAGCTACAGTTCCCACCAACACACAATCCCACGCTGCACTAAATTTGGCCTAATATGTTTTACCACGGTGTACAGCTCCTCGAGATTCAAGCTGCAGTTTTTATGATGAAATTCGGATTGAGCTCATTAAATCGGTTGGACAAAAGTGGTGGTCAGGCAGACAACTTGACTGTAAAATACGGAAACTGGTGCCTTTCAAATAAGAAATGTTTAATAAAGCTGAGAGTAGATTTATAAATGAATAAAAAAAAACTCCTTTATGCAACACCATTCATGGTGAAAATCATTTTTTAAATTATGCTCACGATGCATTGTAACTTCTGCCTTATTAGCTTCCTATTTGGAATGAACCATATTCAAGAGTCTTTACAGAGCACTTTATCTGAAAGAGAACCCTGCTATGTGATTGGACATAGTGCCATCTTGGAGCACGTGAAGAGAAAATGAGTTTTCTGGGAGTCTGCTCTTCACGTACTGTCACTCTCTGAGATCCTCTCGCGCAGAACTAAAAAAGTGCTGTCATTGTGTCTCATTGGCAGCAATGAATAAGAACTTATAAGTCTTGCAAACGTCTTTGTTGTCTTGGCTGCAGACTTTAGAAAGCTAATTGAGTGTCCAATACAAAAAATTATTGAGGATATAATATGTATTTATTGGGGTTTTGTAATAATTCATGTGAATTCACACTTCTTTCTTAAAGTGACTACATTTTATACAGTTCTTGCAAATTCCATAAACTTTTTATAAGAGGGAACTGTGCCTAGAAGCCGAACCAGCCCGAGAGCAGATTGTTCAAAAGAAATCCAGGGACTTGTGAAACTGCTGGCAACACTTAGTATTGACTGGATTCCTGGCCTATTGTCTTTATACTTTTCAACCTGACAAACCTAAAGAGGAACTGCAATGCAATTTTTATTATTTTTATTTTTATTCAAGATTAGAAAGAATCAGCATTGGCGAGTGCATTTCAAACCCCAATGAAAGTAAAATGTACACAGAAACGTGTAAATTCCATCACAAAATAGACAACATCTACGAGTAGTTCAGGTAGGTAGCTGTGTCAGCGGTGCGTAGGCTGCAAAGGAACAAGTAAAGGTTTATTTCATGCTGATAAGAGAAGAATGCACTCTTTTTTCAACAGAGGATACCCCACCCATGTTATTGACAGGGCCCTCTCCCGAGTCAAAAACAGCCCTGGGATCATCAACTCAATTAGAAACTCCCAGACTCACAACCGCATTCCATTAGTGCTTCCCTTCTACCCTTACACCCTTTCTGTTCCCAGGGCCATTAACGACAACTTCCCCATTTTACAGGATGATCCCTACACTGGTATTCTTTTTTCTGACTGTCCCATCATCTCATATCATCAACCACCTAATCTGCGTAACCTTCTTGTTTGCAGCTCCCTTGACCGCCCTCAGCAATCATCCCCACCAGGCACTTTCCCCTGCAACAGAACTCGCTGCATCACCTGCAAATATATATCAAATACCACTCTCATTCAAAGATCACTCAGATGACATCTTGTAGGTCCAGCAACCTTAATTACTGCATCTCTTGCAGAAAATGCCCAGCTATTTATATTGGTGAGACAGGAAGGAGACTTGAAGACCATTCGGGGAATATGTCAGGGCTGCGAGGATCAAAGATCTCTTCAAACCCATAATTTCCCACTTCACCTCTAACGGCCATGATCATACTGATCTCTCCATCTGCGTTCTCAAAGAGGGGTTTCGCAACTCCTATTGTAGAAAGACATCCTAAACCAAAATTATCCTGAAACTAGAATTACACCTTCCCCCTTCTCTCAATGACAGACTCTTTTCCTTCTAATCCTTTTTCTTCATTTGCAGGTTTTGACTTCACACCTCTCTTCACCTCTCTTGACTTCACACCACCTGAATGTCCACTCTGCTTCTATTCTCCCATGCTTTATCAGCTGTTGATTTCCCTCTCTTTCTCACGCCCAAGTAAGGCTCTGCAACCGAAATGTTGTGTTTCTTTTTTCTTCTCTTTTCAGCATGGAATAGACATTTACAAGTATGTGAAGCACCATGTTGCCGTTATTGTCTGCAATTCCGAACGTGACAATAAAATGTGCAATTTGGGGAAGTGGCCCTATTACATTTTAAACAAACGGGCTTGTGAATCCATCTCTTTTAATCCAATAGAAATATTGCTCTCGAATCCAAGACGGTTTTGCTGACAAATGCATCTTACTTTTTAACTCTGCATGCAGATCACGTTGGAACATTTCTTCAGTGAAATGTCTGCTGCACAACCTGTACTTCTTTGCTTGTACATCACAGTACATTAGTCATTACAGTGACTAGTGAGCAGGAAGGGCCGCTTCACATCATAATTCACACAAACTCTTGCTCTGTAGTGGAACAATGGCGACCATTGGAGACCATTTGCAACAACAATGGAGACCATACAGCACTTTCACAAAGTTCACAAGTTTGCGCTTAATTCGGAGTTTGTTAAGTTTTGTGATGCAGTCAATGAATTAATTTTGTTACCAAGATTTATTAAACCGGTCTGAGTGCAGTTCTCCTTTAAACATCTTAACTGCTTCGCACAGCAAGCAACAGGCACAAGGCAGGATACATCCTGGACAGGAGCACAGAGCACTGGGATGAAACCCATGCAAATATGGTGAGAGCCTACAATACAAACACCGTGTAAATAGTATCCTGGGTCTGGAATTGAGCCCAGGGATCCAGCGCTCTGAGGCAGCAGTGCTTTAAACATCTAAAACCTAATATTCTTTTGGCCTTTCTTCTGCAGGAGCCAATGGATTCTTCCAGCTTTGCTGCTGGCACACTAGTATGTATTAACCACATTACTAACTCAAACTTGAACTTTAATGTCTAAAATTACTTTTTATGAGGATGTTAAATGCTTTCTGATGCTTTATATTCATCTGTACATCAGAAGGGAATATTAAAGATAAAATGTGTTTGTTGGCTGCTTGGTTTATATACAGTACGTTGTTTTATGTATCAACGGATGTGTTCAGTTTCTTAATTGTTCTACATTAGTCTTCCAATACAGTACATTCTCATAACTCCTCATAACGTCTTCATTGTATAAAAACATTACTCCTTACAGGTCCCATCTCTAATTGTTTTTTAATTATATTATATATTATCTGTTAAAACAATATACAATGATTATTAACTCTGAATATGACCTTGTTAGGTGTGTTCAACTACACATCTGTTTCCTTAATGCTAGTGCAAATACAAACTTAATATTTGCCCTCAAAACCAATTATGCTGCTGGCTTCCTAACAACGTTTTCTGTCTTTACTTCTGTGCTCTTGTTGGAAAAATAGGAGTCTATAGTGTATGACCTGATCACATTAGTTTGACCTCTGTTGCCAAGGAAATGGGGTCAAATGTTACATGGAATGGTAGGTGAGAAGCCTATTGCTTTTATCATTGTCCAAGTCAGATTGACCTTACCAAGCACTGGAGGAAAGAGTGAATTTTGATGTTGTATTCTACTCTTTTCAAATTACTTTATGAAACAACTGTCAAAAAAATAACACAAAATTCTAGTAAATGCCATTATTTAACAAGATTATGAATTATTTGCGAAATTAAAGAAATGTGTGAGCTAGTGTGAACACAACAAAGAGTATGTGTATGTTACCATTTCACTTCAAAGGATCAAAGGAAAAAATATCTTTCAAAAACATGTCTGGGTGAGAAAATTACAATGTTTTGTCATAAATGCAAATACAAATACTGTACAGAATGTTTATGTCAGTATGATATTAAGGTTACACCAGATTTTTAGGCATTTCCACTAACTGAAATTTATGTCACATTTTGTTTTTTTTAGTAATTTTTTTCTCATCCGAGTTAATAACTTCTCCCTTGCATTTATAAGGAATATTTTAAGGCATTTTAAGGAGTAGTGTTTTTGTTTGGGCTATTATTATCACTACCCACTACAGTCAATGCTGCATAGCTAGCAGAGTGTTAATAAGTCTCATTCCTTTTTTTCTGTGAAGATGATGTCAGATCCCTTCGATTGTACTTTTGGCACTTTAAAGATATCGGTGTCACATTTTAAAGGGGAAACAGTCCTGCTTTGTGTAAATGGCTTTGTTAAAGAACACCTCCTACCTATTTTCTGAAATTGCATGGCTAAGTATTCAGAGTCAGTATTGCTTCCTCTGGCAGACACGTGGGCCCTTTGTAATCACTGGGAGATCTGAACTGGTCAAAATTTATGGATGTTCATGAGAACCAGTTATGTTGCTCCCAGAGGTCTCAACGTAGTTTTATGTTTGTGTTTTTCTTTTGTAAACGGTGATGAAACAGGCTGGGAGCAAATTATTTTTAACTTTTCTGTTTTGCTGTGGAGAAGTGAGATTCATTATAAAATCTGTTTTAACTTTGCGGTTGTTGTGTGTGCTTTTAAGCACGGCACCATGACTAAACGCACAGACAGTTATTAAAAAATAACAGTGTTCAAAAAAACCTTCTTAAAGCTACATAAAAATCCATAAAAAACAGACAATGCTAAAATTCAGAATGCTTAACAAACTTTAAATTAAAATTATTATTTTTTTAACATTTACACGTACAAAATTGGGGAGACATTCTAGAGCAGAAATTCCACTGAATTCCTTCCAGAAAATCAGATTACAAATTGTATTAATCTGTAATACATTTGTCTAAATTTCCAGACTCTTTTTAAATGGCAGAATTTTAACTTTTTTTTTTTCCATCAGGCCCTGCAAAGTGATGACATGATTTATTTGGCTCTCCCAATAAATGCGTGATTGCAGACCTGCTGGCTGAGATAGTCTGTGTGTTCAGTTCTTTATATACCTCATGGAAACATTTGCCTGTATCTGGCAATAAATTCCAGAGGAGGATATTTTGTTGTAAAAATGCAATAGATGTGCATGCACTAGATAGGGAAAATTGTCTTAATGCTGCAGTTACTTTTTGAGAAACAAACATGTGCTTATGTTGCAAGTGTTGCAAGTGTTTGTGCTTAACAAAAACAAGCTGAATTAGATCAGGGAATGAAGAACGCATAGCCTTTCTGTGCCAAGTGACTTTAGCAAAAGGAACTTTTTACATACTGTTGCATTTTTATGGACTATATTGGCCATAATTGACTACTGTCAATTAAAACTACTACAAGGATCTATTCCAAGGTATCAGCCTGTCAGATATTTTAAGCTCACTGATTGCATTTGTTTCTGATCTAAAAGAATGATTTTGGAGGCGAGTTCAGGTGTTCAGATGTACTGTCCATCTGCAATATCTAAAAATACTCCCATGTGTAATCCCACTTGTACCAGATCAGGTAAGTCATAACACAAAAAGGCCTAAGTTTTTGTCGGGCAACATTTTACTTGTTGGATGGGTGAAATTATGCTGACATTACTGGTATTTTAAAAAAAGGTGATTTCCCATTAGTAAGAACTACTCTTTCTTCCATGTGAACCATGAACATTGACCTGCATGACCTAAGGATTAATATATTTTTTGAAAGAAGAATACTTGCTTTTTTGTAACACATACTGTTTTAAATCAACTCTTAACTCAGAAATAAATAACATATACATGCAGGTAAATATTTCATCTAAAAGCCTATTTCACTTCGTCCTCTGTAGCTGTAGTTGGACGGGTGTTAATCTGATTGAATGGAAAATATTTAGAAAATCCGTTCTTAGTGGCTTGCACTGTCCTATTGCTATATTCTTAATTAGTTTACTAAAATTTGAAAGGTGTGGAAATATGCTGGCAAATCACATTCAATTTAACTGGAAAATGGATGGCAAAGTGATGAACAATAGAAATATTAAAATATGTTCTGTATTTATATATATTATAAACAGCTGTTCTTTTGTTCAAGCAGAAACCTAGGCACCAAACATTTTGTCTAAGCATCTTAAAGAAAATATCTGCCAATTGGAAAAACTAATAAATTCCTGAAAGTTTTCTAGTTGTCTAAAAACAATACATCACTCCTTACTGTAGATTCATAACTGTGTCACTGTCATGTCAGGCCATTCGTTATTGGAACATGTTTACCATTAATCCTCTTGTGCACAGTACAGGGCATGTGGCTCATGTCACATCGGAGCAAGCTTGTTGAGGTGGAAGAAACTAGCATATTAAAGAACGACTTCATAAATATATAACTGTGCCTGACTCCAACCTGTCACCCCCAGGATCCACAAGGGCAGGGCTTGAATTGGAGCAGAACTTTGAGCCGCACAAATTCCCTCAAGCTCTGCAACAGCCTCCAGGAAATCCACAAGGCACTTTGTGCCTCTCCAAAGACTCTGGCTTGTAAACCCTGGTTTCCTTTGCATCTACTGCTTTAGTCCTAATTTCTTGTCAATAGAACTAACCTCTGCCACTACAATACGTCCTTGATCATTGTTGCCTTATTAAAAGGTATGTGAAACTGTACAGTAGGTTGTTTATGTGGTTTTGACATACTTTGAGTTCTTCTGCATGATGATACCCTCAAGGGAAGAGAGTTTATCAGCAAACTTTTCTTTTTTTTTCAAATGGCATTGTTCCCCAGCCTGCACTGCTGTCTCACTCAAAAGCTACATACAGTAGCACATTTGTGTTCTGAGCTTGAATGTTTATTTTGTATTTTTTGCCATTGAAAAAGCACAGCCTGTCAATACATTATAGTTCTTCATTTCCCTTTGATGAGGCCTTGGACTTGATTCAGTGATTGAATGTATGATCCACCTCATTGTTTCAACAGCTATTTATCATCAATACTGTACACCCTTAAGTTAAGAAAATTCAAAGCAATTAAGAAAAGAAAATTATAAGTATTATCTATTAACTGAGTCTTGGTTTACTAGGTCACTACATCATTTCTGATTGTAATGCTCCTTTCACAGTTAGATTCTTTGGGTTTTGTGTTAAGGAAAACTGACATTCATCACATCCAAAATCAAGCCAGATTGTGTTCTGCAGTTTGACTGTTAATGTTTTAATCATCACCTGAGTTTTTTTTGCATACTTACTCTGTATTGTAGTTTGAGATGAGATTAAGAAGTTTCAAGTGGAACCGCATTTCATTCTTGGATTTCATGATGAACAGCAGAATTGTGTTATTGACAGAAAATGTCTGTCAATTAGACAGAAAAGGGTGTAAATTAAATTAGCAGCATGTTGACTGTCTCCAACAGCATGCATTCAAACAGTTTGCAGTTGTCAAGACACAAATGTAACTGTCCTGTGGAAAAAATAGATGGGGTTAGAGGCATAAAGATTTTCTAATTACAAAAAGTATATAAGGAACCACTCTATAAATGAAAGAAAACATAATTATTTTCTAATTATTGAGAATGGCTGTGACTGTATTGATTTATATAGCGGAAGAAAGAAAACTTTATCAACCTTATGAATTTATTTCTTACTATGCTTAAAATCTACAAAACACAAATGCATTTACAAATATTTGAGTTTCAAAATATTTAGATGGAAACACTACTGAGTGATATCATTACTACCTTCTCTAAGAGATGTAAACTGGATAAACAGACATAGTAATGTGTATTTTTTATGTTAGACATAGGTAGTATAATCAGCACATTCATATTAATGAAGGAGGAATGGAAGAGTTTTGCTCCTCAAGATAGACACTTTATGGCATAAAACTTTGGGTCACAAACGAATGAAGAGACTTCTGCTGTCTTTTAAGAAGATCTGCTGCTTCCTGTCACTATCCGGTTCCTGGTATTTTTCAGTTGTCAAGAGGGCTGACAACGTTCTGCTAAAACACAGAGTGCAAGGTATCTAAATAGTACAGGAACTGTTTAGTTTGGGGTCTCTAATTAATGGTCTGATGAGATATTCCTGATAAAAACTAAATGGACAATACACTCAAGCCTCTCAGTCACACTGGGCCTTTGAAGGTACTATTCTGGGAAGTAAGAACTTTAGAAGTTTTTATAATGCAAAATGTGTCCCATAAAAATTTACTGGGCCTGCTTAAAGCCTTATATTGCATCTTAAAAGCTTTGCCAAATAAAGATAATGGATAAAAATGAGAGCCTGGTAAAAACATAAGACAATGTTAAATTATCCTGACCTACATGGTAAGATGTTCTAACATAAAGGATAGTAGAGTAAAGTTTATTAGGCTCTGCTGATGGGTTGTTATGATTTTCTCTGAAAAATAGAGTCATCTGCAGTTTACATGTGGGCCGTGAAATACTGCTTAAAAAGATATGGAAACTCAGAGTATGTACTCATTTAAAGTCTGAGGTGTTTTCTTGATTGGCCAAAATAAATCTTTCAATCAAGTATGGCAGTCAATCTTCTGAAATAAACTTGCTGGCCTGGAGAGGTACCACGCCATCATCTTAGAAAGAAAAAAGATGAGCATTGGAGTTACCCAAGCACCCGCAGTATCAGACCTTTCATATTGCTTCTCTGGTCTCGTCATCTTGCATGTTGTGGAAAACCAGCAAGACAAACCTGGGTACTGTCACGATTATAGTCCCCCCTCCTTAAGGGTGCTCCAGCCCTTTCACTAAGACTTTATCCTCTGCACCTGTTCCCTATTCCCATGCCACCTTAAAAGCCAGGCGCTGACGCTCTTCCGGGCTCTGCTCTGATTTCCATATCGTGCGAGTCCGGGACCAGGAAGCGCCTGGTCCCGTTAAGGTTTTAACCCCTGTTCCTTGTCCCTGTCCGCCGGTTCCGACCCGGTCTTCGTGGTTTTTATCTTGTTCTGATGGATCTTCTGGTTTTGGACTTACTCGTGTGTTTTTGGATATTCCCTAAGGATTACTCTTGGATTGTTCGCCTCGGCCACACCTCCCCCGTGCACCAGCGCACCTTGGACACGCCCCCCTGTCTTCAGCCCCGTTTTCCTGCATGACGTTTCCCCAGTGTTTCCCCACTCCGTCGGACTGTGTCGTCCGCATAGGGTCCGGAAAGAACTGTTCGTTACAGGTACCATGACACTGTGCTCCCTTTGTGCCAGACCTTCTTGTGTCTGTAGATAGAACAGGAAACGCCAGGGTCCCCTGTGGACACTGGCGTGGTCAAGGGCCAGCCTCGAGAAGCCGACTGGTTCAAAAATGTGGATCTTGAATCCAGTGGATTTTCGGTCATTTTAAATGGTCCAACACCTGATGCCTGTGGAGAAGGGACTTTTTGGTTCAGTTACACATTAATGGGATCATTTAGCACTCATAAAGTGAAGAGCTGTTTATGACTAATAAGACCTAGAAATCCTGTTGGATTCTGGACTCCAGTATAATCAATAGTAATGATATTTTGCAAAGAAGCTTATAAAGCTTCTAACAAGGCTTACAAAGAAGACAGGTTGTTGGAAACTACCTGTATGTTTCAGATGATTCGTAAGGAGTAGTGACTGGGAACTGTCATCCGATTTCTCAAAAGTTTTCCAAATGTCCTTAGGTTAATTAGAAGCAGATACAATGCTGAATGATTAATGACTTAAGCTTCATCGCCCTTTTCATCAGCAGTGCATTACTAAAAAAAGTTCACTTAAACACAGAAGACAGTTCTTTGTTTAGGGAATTAAATTTAAACAGTAGTTAAGACTAGAGTCTACACAAAAATTATACTGTTTACTCTTGATAAAAATAACCATTCTTAAAGTTACTGTATAACCCAATGGTATTGAAATTATGTGTGTGTTTTAATATCATATGTAACTTAAGACTTGGTGTTAAAATCTTTGAAAAAATGCGTTCATGTGTATAATGTGAATATATTCAGTATTTTCTGTTGAATTAACACATTTTCCGTTGAATAAACTAAGTAATTTACAACTTGATTATGATTCATGTGCTTTCCACACTGAACAGTCATGTATGAGTCCAAATTCAGGACTGGTTGAGATAAATGACATGGAAAGTTCTGCTCAATTATAATTGCATGTTGTTTTTAGGAGTGATCAATTTTTTTAACATTTCAGTAATCAATGTCCAGGATCAAATGCCCTGCTTCACTTCGTGCTCTTATAATTTTCAGATGTATAATGATAATATGTAACTAAAGATGTATTGTGGTCTGTGGACTCAACAAAATCAAGCTTCTAACTTATTTTTCTTATTATAATATATTCCAATTATCCCACATAAATATCTCACTAAAGATGCATCCAACATCAGACCTTTGTGTTGAGATACTGCAAAAATTGATTATTTGAAAACTGTGTTAAATTAACAAAATTCCCAATGTAAAGTATGCCCTTTATATACAGTACATGTAGCCTTCAAAAATCGTTATTTGAACTACACTGGACAGGTACAGTTAAATCGGCTACTTTTAGTACAGCAACTAAAGTATGTTTTGTTGCTTGTTTTGTAGAACCAGCTAGCTAGCTAATTTCAAGAAACACATCATCAGCATATCATCATCATAAAGTATAATGTATATAGCTGTGTTACGAAGGAGATCCGGCGTAGATGTTCAAGAACCAAAACTGAGTAAAGTCACTGTCAGCAGCCGTGTTTGTAATGAAAGTTGCCAAAAAATTGTGCCAGTCAAGGAAAGTTTAGATCTGTGACATGGAGTGGAAAAACAGCTCAAAGAGGTTTGGTGTCCATGACAACATGATGATGTATATTCCTTATAAGGCCTGGGAACCAGCCCTTTCTGTTTGGCAGGCAGCTTCACAAATTTCACTGATAAGATCACTTTGTTCCAAATTCTCAGGAGGCTAGGAATAGCGTGCAGCAAAAGCCTGTGCCAACACTAACAGCCTAGTCCAAATTAATGAGCAGAATTAGATGGGGCCAAAGCAAAAGATCACACATGATATGACTTTCTTGCCCTCGACTTCAAAAAACATGAAATACCTTTTTTGTGTTTAAATGCATTTTGAGTCAAATTGATCTAATCTTGCAAAAGTACACCTTCAGAGGAGAATTAGGATACAAGACCCATAGGATATTGTAAGACTGTAGATAAAAAAAAAACACCAATCTAATAAATCTGCACACACCCCCGACCTGCTCCCCGTTGGCATTTCTGTGTTTGTTCTCTAAATCTGTTTTACATTTCTAGCTGCAAAATCAATGCACAGCTAACATACCCTTTACAGTATAATGGTGTCTAATTGGCTAACCTTAGTTGTTAGCCATGATTATAATTCAAGTTACTGTAACTAGAAATAAAATCATATATGATTTTATTATAGATACAGTCGCTATAATACAGATGCAGTCACTGTCCTGACTGGAGTAACCTTGTAGAAGACCAGACTTACGATGTGTCTATCAGGTGAGAACAGAGTGGTTCTGAATTAAGTAACGTTTTGAGAACATGAAGGTAATTATATGAGTGTAGTAACAGACCGACTTCAATGGCAGCTTGCCAAAAATGTAAGCTTTGGATCAGTTATACCCCAAGATAACACAAACTGTACATAATCTTCTTCTTTGCTTAAGGTCCTAATGCATACTTTCCTAATAGCATCATCAGCTACATTGGAGTTTTGAAAAAGCAGCTTTTTCTGCAAAAAGTAGTAGGTAGTGGTACCTAGGTCCATGCATAAACTATGTGCAAAGCAAATTAGTACAATATGGATTTTGTGTTTGGTCCAAAGAAGGTAAGCAGCTACATGAGGCCTTTTGGAATTATGCACCTTGTTTAACATCTAAATTAAACATTATTTTAATTTACCTCTGTAGTTTAATGTACAAAACACTGACTGCTCAGATGTAATCTGTCCATTTGCTGCCTTTGATATAACAGGCTGCATGTTTCCACCTTGTTTCTTAGAATTAATTTATTAATGACCTTAAAATATAACAGCCAAAGGTTTTGGGTAAAGATCGGGAACATAAATACAAAGACATATCAATTTCTGAGCAATGTGAATTTAGAGGAATATACATTAGTTCTAATGTTTCTCTCTGTGTTCTATTGGTTAATGACCTGTATGCAGTCATATTATTTTCAGGTAAGAGAACAAAATTACAAAATGTATCTGGACTTAAAAATGATTTTTAAGTGTCTATAGCCCTTCATTTATTTTATTTTTCAATAACTAAATCTCAGGTTTAGACCTGCAGTGTGCAACACATTTTGCAAAAATTGATGATTTTTCATTATGATTTTGTTTTATTCATTCTGAAAAAAAAGATCTAAACCTGATGATCGTGTCCCCTCACAGCATGTGGACTAAGATCAGAAGGATACAGACCACTACGCATGACAGAGCTGGCTGCAAGCAGCTGGCCATGTTCTCACGACACAGTCATCACCCCGATCTTCCCTGTGTGTATTAGGGAGTTATACAACAGGCCATAGGGAAATTGTAAAGTTATTATGTATGGAATTTGGTGTGGTTTGGAACTTTGTTATAGCTGAAATAGGGTTGGTGATGATGTTTCTTGTGGTCAGGTTTAAATTCTCTCTTTTTATTCTTTAACCAGCAGCAGTGATCTGCTTTGCACCCGCATGTGGATAAACAGCTTCTGTTTCACTGCAGTGTTTCAGTGCTTTGTGGGGAGCCCCATACATCGTGAGAAAGAGGGCTCACATTCAATGTTCTCATCCACTGCGAGTTTCACATACTCCTATATTTAGAGTTCCCCTACAATACATTTGTTTTTGCCATCAGTGGCAATTAATCTGATCATTTTGGTACTATTTTAATCCTCGTAAAATGGAAAGGAGCTCATATTTTGTTTGCTTTTTTACGAGACCTTTAGTCTCTCCCTTCCTATAAAATGTATTTTCCCTCAAGAATGGTTTTGTGAGCTCACCGTCATGTACTCAGCTGGTGCCATTCCACCCCCTGTTTCTCTCTGGCTGAATTCTGCGTGAAACCTGCCACTTATTTGCCCAAATAATCTAATTCCAGTTCCTTATTCTGGGAATGTGCTGCCCTTTGATTTGCGGTCCCTCCCCTTACATCTGCTGTCCAAATTTAAAACAGGATGCTTTGAGTTTCAGTGACATTACTGTAGATTTGTAAGGGGATATTTAAAAGCTCCTTGTTTGTCTCTGTTCGGTGGTGTTCTGGGTTTCTTATCGGGAGAACTGAGCCCCCACGGCTTCCCTAAGGAATTTGGTGCAAGTCTCAGCGGAGCTCTGTCCTACTTGACCAAACTGAACTGGGGACCATTACATGGTCTGGCTGTGCACTCTCCCACAGTGGTACTGGCATACATCACCAGTCTTTCTCAGCCACACAGCACTAATCTGTGGGATTTCATGCATTTTTGTAAAACCGCAATATTGTATCCCATCGCCAGGCACAGTACTATTTAAGATACGAGAATGAGTCTTGGATGTCAGGTTTCAACATGAAAAAAAACAGTATTTTCCGTGTTTCTTTTGCGTAGGTTTTGGTAGTCCTGTCCAGTCTAATACGGAAATATCCTCAAGTTCCTTTCTCAGAAAGAGACTCTTAAGGACCAGAGCAGGACGTGAGCGGGCCTGAGAGTTGTCACTTGGAGCTGTCCAAGTGCTTTCTTTTTTTAATTAGGAGCCTGACGTCATGTGTGAATTACTCCCGTCTTGGCCGTCCTCCGGGGAGGGCTCAGCACCTCTGGAATTTCCTGTGCTGGGGGAAGGGCAGCTGCTGCGGGGGTCCTGTCAGCTCTCCGGGAGCTAAGAATGCAAGACTACATACTTTCACCCAAACGCTGTGAACGGCAGACGTTAATATATTCCACTGAGAAAGGTGCGCGGATCTTGTGCTCTTTTAGATGTTACTACTACACTGTGTCCTCATCTGGCGCCACAGATGTTCTCGAATATCTTGTGCCTGATCTAATATTGCTGTAGAGGTCAAATGAGTGCAGCCTTCGATAAGTCTTCAAACTGGCTAACAACTGTGATTGTGGTACTTAAGTGCTGAAACTCAAGAACTCCTGTTTTTTTTAATCAGCCTTTTTACCCTTGATTTTTGTATTTTCCAAGAGAGACCAATTGTCTTTAACTTTCATGATTCATGCTCTGACTCTGAGATTAAGCAATGCTGAACCAAGGCTGTCTAAATTAAAACAGGTTTTTAGCTTAAACTCAATGGTGAATAAAGTGATGGGATTCCTGGCTCCTAATGCTTAAAATAGGGTTCATCTGTTTTCCAAAACAGGAGAACCCAGTAGCCAGAACACAACTAGCCTAACTCTTGGGGTTGGGTGAGGTGGAGGTGGCTTGGGAGTTCTGGTTTCTCAGCACACCAGTATACTGTATGGCCAGGCCCCTTATCTAGTGTCTGTCTTCCAGTTGATAGCAGTCTTTACATTATGGGCTCAGTACACAAAGACAGAGATATCCAGAGATCTGTCACAGACCAGGACAGCCTGCTCCATTAATAATAATAATAATAATAATAATAATAATAATAATTGGTTACACTTATATAGCGCTCTTCTGGACACTCCACTCCACTTCACTCCAGTGTGCAGCCCCACCTGGATGATGTGATGGCAGCCATAGTGCGCCAGAACACTCCCCACACACCAGATATCAGTGGGGAGGTTATTTAAATAAGTTTCAGTTAGGTTAAATTAGATATTTGTGTTGTGTAATAAGAGACAATAGGGATTTAGAGAGGAATTTTTATGCATTTATTGTTAATTACTTGTTATAGTTCATCTTCATGCAGTTTGTGTTTGCCTTTGATTAGAGTTTCTCTTGTAGATTGTTAGACTTTCCTATTTGAGTTGTAGAGTGCGAGGAGGCAGATGGAGAATGTAAACAAGGGGGAATTAGGACATGCTGTACTGTGGCGATGTTCAGCAGTTGGAAAGATATTTGGATTTATTATGTACACAAAAAACATTTGATGGGTAAGAGTTGTTTATGCCCATG